AAGAGGCTAGAGTTTATGTGCTTGCTAAAAATGTCATTTTCCAAAAAGACAAAAAAAAAAAGGAAGGGCCGGCCCGGTGGAGCACTGCTACAGTGCGCCACTTGGAAGTGCGGTGGTGCTCCCGCCAAGGGTTCGGATCCCACATACAGACCGGCCGCTCACTGGCTGAGCGAGGTGCGGGCGTGACACCGAGGGTTGCGATCCCGTTGCCGGTCCCGGTCCGGTATGGGCGCGACACTGAGGGTCGCGATCCGTTGCCGGTCACGAAAAAAGACACACACACAAAAAGGTAAAAATGTCATTTTCCAAATGCAAATCTAGCTTCTCTCCTTCAGCTTAGGAAACATCTCTTTGCTGTTTAGGGCACACCCATGACCTTTCCCCAGCAAAAGTGAGTTAAGCACCAGGGTCTGCTCTATTCACTGTTTTACCCCTACTGTTTCCTACCTCACACCTGACCCAACCTTCCAGGCACCTGCCCTGCAGGACGCCTTTCCCATATGTCACTTAGTTCCTGGAACTAGTTACGTTGGACACCTCCTGAGCTTGCAAGTTTTACCCAGTTTGCTCTAAAAAGGACTGGGGAATTTAGGGGTGGAGGTGTGTATATAAATGTATGTGGATCAAATTTAATAGGATGCTAATTATTTGAACAACATAAAAGGCAATCATTGAAAGACTCCCATACTAAACGAAATCAAAGGCTTTAGATGAGATGGCCACTGGATGTGTGATCCTGTACCAGGAAAAAATTTGCTATATAGGTCATTATTAGGACAACTGGCAAAACTGGAATATAAGCAGTAGATAAAAGTATTTATCAATATTAAATTTCCTGAGTTTGATAAGTGCATGTCTGTGGTTATGTAAGAGAATATTTTTGCTCTTAGGAAATACACAATGAAATATCAAGCAGTGGGGCCAAGCCCGTGGCACACTGGGGAGAGTGCAGCGCTCCCGCCACGGGTTTGGATCCTGTATGGGGATGGCTGGTGCGCTCACTGGCTGAGCGCGGTGCGGCCGGTCTCAAAAAAGGACCAAAAATAATAATAATAATAAAATAAAATAAAAAATCAAGCAGTGAAGTCTGCAATCTATTCTCAAATAGTTCAGAAAAAAACTGGGGGTGGGGTGGGGGTGGGAGGAAGAAAGGGTGAGAGGGGAGGAGAGAATGAATGATAACACAAATATGAAAAAAAAGTTAAAAATTGGTGAATCTAGATAAAGGGAGTCCTTTATACTGTTCTTGCTCTTTTCTCTAAGTTTGAAATTTTTTTTTTTTTTTTTTAAAGATGACCGGTAGTTGGTTAGAACATGGTATTATAACACCAGGGTCAAGAGTTCAGATCCCCGTACTGGCCAGCAACCAAAAAAATAAAGCCAAACCAAACCCAAAAAAAAAAAAAAAAAAGATGACCAGTAAGGGGATCTTAACCCTTGACTTGGTGTTGTCAGCACCACGCTCTCCCAAGTGAGCCACAGGCCAGCCCTAAGTTTGAAATTATTAAATTTGAAATTATTTCAAAACAAAAAGGTTTTTTATTAAAGGCATTATAAAAGATAGTTAAGATTCCTCTTTTCAAGAAACAAGATTACCCATGTGTTGGTAATTGTTGAAGTTGGATGGTGGGTGCATGCAATTTATTGTACTATTTCCATTACTTTTGTATGTGTTTGAAATTTTTTTTTAAAGGGCTTTAAAAAAGAGAGCAATTCCTCTTTTTACTGGCTGAAACAGTTGTTCTGCAGTTACTTCATTAACTAGCATGGCCATTACATGCTTTCTTAGTTAGAGACAAAGCTCCCAACAAGGGTGCCCTGGATTTAGGGGCAGTCCCCCGGATTTAGGGGCAGTCCCCCCATCTTCAAATGAATGCCTTCGGTGAGACCAAGACTTTTTTTTTTTCCTTTTTGTCTAGTTTCGTGACCGGCAACGGATCGCAACCCTCAGTGTCATGCCCGTACTGGACCGGGACCGGCAACGGGATCGCAACACCGTGGTGTTGCGCCCGCACCTCGCTCAGCCAGTGAGCGGCCAGTCTGTATGTGGGATCCGAACCCTCGGCAGGAGCGCCACCGCGCTCCCAAGCGGCGCACTGTAGCAGTGCGCCACCGGGCCGCCCGAGACCAAGACTTTTAGAAAGATGTCTAGACCCACTTACAGTCCAAATGCCCTACAAACCAAAAAGAGGAGGCAACCAGTGATACACCTGACAATGAACTGGAGAATGAATTAGGTCAGCTGCAAAAATTTACAGGGAAGCATGAGACCAGCATCTTAAAAGAAATGAGGCCAAGCCTTTATTATCTTTTTACAGCTGTGAATTCAAACTAAAATTGAAAATATAAATAACAATGTGAGATGTGTTGCTTCAGGCTATGGACATTCACTGCTAGCACATAAATAAATATAAAAAAAGGATTATGACAATTCTGGAGGTTTGGAAAAAACTGAAGTTATCTGCAAAGCTGAGCTCCTATCTGCCTTCTTAATAAGGAAGCTGACCAGAGCCCAAGAGGGTTTCCTTAAACAAGATGTCTTCAGACAAGACTAAGTAACTGGATGATTCCTGCTCACTTTTGTAAACGTTCCTATACCTGCACAGGAACTCGATGAAAATCTCAAACAAAATTCAAACCTGTGAAATAGCTTTAAAGATTATCCATGAATTTTGAAAATGCCCAATGCAAACATCGCTCTTACCTTCTTCTGCCAACTCCTTAGTAATGATGAGTTTCCCGTGGCGGAGGTAGTTTAGGATAGGACCAAAGTAGGTGGGGTCCCTGTCAATCAGATAGGCCCCTGTCTCATCCTGCCAACCAAACACAAGGGTATTATTGTGGAGCTTTCAGACTAAGTCAGGGCAGGGTTTCAACCTCTTTGTCAGCACCCTAAGACAACAATTCATTCCATCAGCTAAACAAATTTTAGCGAAAGGGTAAGTTTTACTAGACATTTGCTTATCACAAACTTGGCAAGAAGGCTAGCTTTTTTGTGTCTTGTACTCTAAGATCATTTCAGGTAGGGTGTTACAGATGTACAGTCATACTCATCAACTAGGCGTTTACTTATTGGCTGGAACTTCTAAAAATCTTTGCTTGGACAATAATTACCAACATTCTTCCATGAGATATTTGTTATTAAGAAAGGGAGAAAATGCCATAACTGTGTGACTTAAATCTTTGCTTAAGATGGACATTCTGACTTCTCTTTTGCCCCTGAAACACATTTCTAATTCTAAGAAAACATCTGTTTAGGGCCGGCCCGGTGGCACACTGGATAGTGCGCCGCTTGGGAAGTGCGGCGGCGCTCCCGCCCGAGGGTTCGGATCCCACATACAGACCGGTTCCTGCTCACTGGCTGAGCGAGGTGTGGGAGCAACACCGAGGGTTGCGATCCCGTTGCCGGTCCCGGTCCGGTCCGGGGGCGGCACTGAGGGTTGCGATCCGTTGCCGGACACAGAAAAAGACAAAAAGACAAAAAAAAAAGAAAACATCTGTTTAGTTGGCGATGCTCCTGAGCTCAAGGCCAACATCATTAGGAGCCTGCACCGCCAGCTGTAATCTTACACACCCCAGCTCTGTGCCCAGAGAAAGCTTGGTACTGCCAGGACTTGGCTCTGAGCAGCTTTAATCCTACTCATCTTTACAGTAAAAGGAACAAGAAACTGGCTTATACTGCCATAAGAAAGACCTAGGGTAGACAAAAATAATTCCTTTATAAGCAAATGTTTTGGAATCCCTTTGCTTTAAAGTTAGCGCAGGATAGGTTTCAATCGACCTGAGATTTATTAGAGAAGATGCAGGAGAGGAATAAATTAAATCAACTAATGTTTATGCAATTCCTACTCTGTAGCAAGGTAACCAGCTGAGCGCTATATGGGCTGTAAGGTGGTGTAAGCTATGGTCGGTCTTTTCAAGCTGGGAACTGAAAGATGAACGTGTAAAGTTAAAAAGAAATTCATCAACAGTTCAAACTGAAAATGGGTTAAGTGTCTTGTCACCTCTCAACCCTTTGGGTAGCAGCCACGCGTCTTGCCTAACAGCATTCCTCCGTCATTTTCCCTGTCTTAACCGGTCAGCCTAGATTTACACAAGTAAATGGTAACCTCTTTCAAGCAGTGCATTTAATCTCAAATATGAACCTAAAACAGTAATTGTTACCAGATACAAGTTTTGGGACCAGGGCCATCGGAAAGCTGTGTGATAGAATCATAAGAAGCACTTCCTGCAGCTGTCGAAGTCATCGTCAGACCAAGGCTTTCACCCAATTTGGCAGAGGGGTCCGAGAGGAAGTCTGAGAAAGCTACAAAAATGCCTTAGCTCACCCTGACCCAATTCTGGATGCATCTGGCACGGGCGGTGAGGGGCTGAAGAGGAGCCAGGGAAAAAGTCGTGCAGATCTGAGAGGTTGGGACGAGAGGGGCAAGAATATAAAGAAGGGGGGCACAGAGTGGGTCCTCGTGGGTGCGGGTGGGTACAGTGTGGGAAGGAGTGGCTGTGGACGAAGGGCGGGGTCAGAGAGAAAACCAGGGTGCACCCGAGAACGGGGAAGAATCGGGAGGGGATCCTTTTGAGGCCCCCAGGGCTATCCTGGGAGGTGGTGGTCGGGGAGGGGAGTTAGAGGCCTGCCTGTGAGGAGCGTGTCCCAGGACTCTGGGGACGAGCCTCGGAGGAACGAGGGCGTCCGAAGGCCCTGGGGCGCGCCCGAGGGCGGGGCGCACCTTGTCCGAGTCCAGCTCCGG